AGTGTTTGTGCTTGAAACTGGTCCCTGGTACAAAAAAGGTTGGGAACCACTGGCTTAGAGGGCTGTAAAGCACTGTGAAGCTGTATATAAGACTGTAGTATTACTATTAAGAAACAATTATTACCCTAGCCTCTTCCAACCAGAATGGAACATTTATGCGCCAATCATTGGCCACACCATTTTGCCCCCAGCTGATTCACAGCCAACTTTCCCCCTTCACTATCCCTCCCCTGGTGATTTTCCATGACCAATGCCCCCCTGATCCTCCACTTTCAACTCTTCAGCACAGCCTATTCCTTCAGGCATTGTTTGATCCGGGTCTTTCACTGCATGGGACAAGAAGCTGCCAGCCAATCTGCTGCGGGCAGGAGTGAACGATCAGCAGTAGGCTATGGGAAAGTGCACCATAACAGGGAGGCTAAGGGGAAGTGCGCCAGGCAACTGGTGGCAGTTGCAGTGGCGTGCAGAAGCGATTGCAAGGGCCATGGAGGGGTGCCTCAATTAGGAGAATTTTCCTACCTTTAAATTGCAGCAAGCCATTGTTGCTGCATTTGGGGATCCATTTGGCACTCATGCTGCTAAGGGAGAGCAAAGCCTGAGGCAGGCAGGGCAGGCTTCAGCCTAACTATCTACCCAGAAAAAATTCAGAGGCTCTCTAAATCTCAGCAAAGCATTATGGAAGGAAATTGCTTCTGTGTGCGCTCTAGCAATGCTCCAGGGTTTTGCATCCCTGATCTAGTCCTAAAACAAGGTTTCCTTCCAATCCTGGATATATCCAGAATGTCGACCCTGAAACTGGCATAGTGTAGTAGCCATGTCTTAGTGTAGCCATTTCTTATTCTTATTATTTTCCGGATTTACACCAAGACCTTGCCAATTTGATATATTCCTAATAAAATGATCTTTGAAGAATATGCCTGCATTGGACTTTTTGTTACTGGGGATGTATTACTTAGAAGTTTGACACAAAATACTGGATTGCTCCCTGTTTTGTTTTTCTTCAAAGCAAATTGTCTGGAAGGACTTTGGAGGGAACAAGACCTAATTATAAATCCAGTATGAGAAGAAAAAGAAGGAGGCACTTGCATTTAAAAATCACCTTACTACTGCTTCCCAGGATTTCTCAAAGGGTCTTTGTCTGCAATGGACTTGGGAATCATCTTCCTCTTCTCAAGCTCCATGTCAGGCTTGCCCATTTCAGAGCTCCTCTTTGCTGGAGAGAGTCAATAGTGTGGCTAGTTGCTTGTATACAGTTCTAGAGAGGAATGGTCTCTGGGGTTTCCTGGATTGAACATTGGTGGTGACAACCACTTTTCTCTTTCCTTTGCCATTTCCTGTTACTATGTCTTGGTGAAAGGCACCGGCCCAGCTCTGTAAGCTGTCTATAGCAGCCACAGCAGCAAAAGGAAGACGGGCCAGAATGGAAGCGTCCTTCAGATTACAGTCAGGATCCAATGTGATCTGATGGAGCAGTCTTGGCTCCATCTCCACAGCAATGTCCCCATTAGCCTCCTGGTTCCCTTTTTGCCCAGAGTCCTGTCTCCTCCTTGGAATGAAGGGCTGGGGCTGGAAGGTCAGGGACCCATTGTCCGCTGAGAATCACTAGAGGAGGTCCAGTGGAGGAGAAAAGCTGCATAAGCTGAAGTGAGTGGTTGGGAGCAAAGTGGGGGCGGCCAATTGTCAGCACCTAAATTTCCAACTTAGTCCCCTTCCAACTGAGCCAATAACTTTCCTGAGAAGGTAACTTTTTTTTAGTTAAGTCTCACTGTTGTGTGATGATGCATGGTGTGTCTGTACTTAAAAGGTTTCATTTTGCTTGTTTATTCCTGTCAGAAGCATCACAATTAAAATAAGGCATATGAATATGACATTGTCATATGACATAAAATATAAAATACAAAATTAAAATATGTACAAGTTACACAGATCTCATCCAACTAGCAAAATTAATTCCATTTTGTTATGCTGCTATGAAGTCTTCAAGTGTGCACTGATCAGGACACAAAAGACAGTCAAGGGCAGAAGCCACCCTAAAGCCCTATTTGTTCAGAATATCTCTGGAAGTTATCGTATCCCGTGCATAGTCTATTAACAGATCAAAATTAAGAACTGGGGGAAAAACAGGCAAAATATGCAAATGGAGTATTATTAATTCTAGATCTCCATTAACTGATCAGTACATTCTACATGTTTCTAAATTCATTTGCTAAATTGATAGATTTTCTAGAATGTTTGGGAATATGTACAAGTTACACAGATCTCATCCAACTAGCAAAATTAATTCCATTTTGTTATGCTGCTATGAAGTCCTCAAGTGTGCACTGATCAGGACACAAAAGACAGTCAAGGGCAAAAAGATATATCTATCTTTTTGAAAGTAATATAACATTATTAAAAAAAACCATTTGTTAGAGGGCTGTAAAATCCAGTCAGAAAGCACAAATTTCATAGAAAGGCAGAATGGTGTGCTTGAAGTCAGATAATCTTCTGAAGAATCATCAATCCTTCTTCAACTCCTGCAAAACATCTAATGGAATCCAAATAAAAAGTTGGAGGGAAAAAAACAGATTTTCCTAAATCCCTGAATATATATTTGTTTATTGGCTTTGTAAATATATATATGTCTTACTGGCATTAAAAGAAAAAATCAATATATAATTATGACCTTCACTTCTTTTTTCCCCTTCCCAAATTCAGTCTCTCTCACTCAGTTCATTTTATCTATTATTACATTCAGGAACCAGTATTAAAACTCAGTCTCATTCATGCAGTACTACATTTCTCCATGTTCTCTAATACTTCCACTGAACTATCTTATTATTTTTCTAAAACCTGCATCCTCCTCCTTTATCCCAGATCGCCTCCCAGCCTTTCCCATCGAAATTCCTGTTTCCTTGGTACCATCTCACATTTACTGCTTCATGTAATCCAGGGTCCTCCTTGCTTGCCTGACTACTATATGAAAATCTTCCTATGTCACACTGACTGGCAACAGCATCTATTTCTTCTTTCAGTTTTCTTTTTTGGTAGCTAAGCATGTTTCAGAGCAAAACATTGTCTTTTGCCTACCTTCTATTTTTATTTTCAAAGAATTTTTCTACAGTATAAAGATGTCAAGTGGCTGAAGGCCAGCTCTTCATTTTGAATGTTTCCACTAAAGCAACCTGTTCTAAATAAATAAAATGAAATTTAAAAATTCAGCAACCCACTCCAGGAAGGAAATGTTCATATACCGATGGCTATAAGCATCATGATGCTTATCCAACTCAAGATTTATTTATTTATTTATTTATTTATTTATTTATTTATTTATTTAATTAATTAATTAATTCATTCAAGTGGCTCGCATTCCAACCAACAATTACCCAAACTCTACTTGTGACCTTTTAGTCTTAATTACCATATTGTAGGCAGTTCCCTATGGCTTTAGATATGTGACTGTCATTTCCATATCACAAATATTTTTTTAAAGTAAATTGATGATTATGTTCTTCAATACCTACTTAAACCTATTATAGATGTATCCTAGTATCTGCAAGTTTATTTAAATTCATCTTTCATTTTATTATGTTTTCAGGTTTGCCTTGCTCAACATCTGCTATATGGCAGAGGAGTCCACTCCATGATAGTTACATCATTATCAAGTTTTTAGGTGAAAACAAAAATCTCCGACTGGAGCTAACTAATAATGGAGAATGGAGAAGATAAGGAGAGGCGAAAATCTGGACTAAACCAAGTCTCATTTGCAAGGAAATTATTTTTGCAACATATGTTTGCTCTCACAAGGAAAAGGGGGAATGGATTGTATTTGAAAATTCCTTCTTTCAAACTTAAAATATTTCTATTATGAAATGAAATGTTAATCATCTCTCTCTCACACACACACAATGTTCCAATGCAGATATACTACTGGGGTCAGGTAACAGCTGGATTTCCAAGTATACTGATCTCATTGAGCTAGTCAACATAGTATGTAACAGTGTATAACAGATACAGCTTCACTGTAACATGTATGTAAATCAGTTACCCTTAAAAATATGCTACTTATACCCTTCATGTGATGAAGTGGATTGAAATCTTATGTGCTAAGAAAATTGCTGCAGACTGCACACAGTGGGGCAAAATGAAGTTTATCTTTTTTTTCCACAACACCCAAAGTGATCCTGCTGAATCTCTTTGGGAAAGGGTGGGAAATATATGATCCTAGAACTGCGTGTGGCCCCAAATTTCTCTTTTGAAGCCTTTGGAGCAGCTACAACCACAAATGTAAAACACTGAATGCAGCATTTAGTGCCATTATGATAGGAACCACATTCAAAAGACTGCAAACGCCAAAATAAACAAATTATATTTAAAAGGACCCAAGAAAACCAAAATAACCTGAGCACAGAAACATGCATAATGAGGCCAAATTCACTTTGCAGCTCTCAGGTTCTGAAATAATTTAAAATGGGGTCCTTACTCATTAAAAGTAATTCATACCTCTGGTTTCAGAAACTCGTAAGATCTGTAATTGTTCTTCACAGGAAGCCAAGATAAATCATAGTATGAAGGGCATCCAAAAAATAGATGGTCCTCTTCAGACTGAGCAAAAACCACACTAAGCTTATCAACCTACAAATCTTCTAGCATTTGAGAATTTGGCTTGTGGCTGTGTATAAACACTGCCAATAGGGGCTTCAAGCAAGATGCTAGGAGAGTGGTTGTCTCCCTCAAAACCTGGTTTCCCCCCCCTGCTCCTGAATAATATCAAACTTTTAGCTATATTATTGATTTGCTATTTCATAATCAGTCTTTAGAGAAACAAAGTGAGTTTTCTGATAAACTCCGGTTTGGTTTTTGTTTGCTTTTTTCCTCCTAAAGGACTTACTGCAAAGCAAATCATGCCTTTCAAGCGTACCTTGAGCATACTATTCACGAGCGTAGCCAAATGTTCCTTTCAAGTGTCTCCTTGACAATACGATAGATATAACCCGGGAACTGTAGCGTTAGGTACTTACCCCATAGCACAAAGAGGAAAAGTTGGGCCAATCGCAAGGCACGACGCTCCATCCCGAATATTTCGGCAGCACGAGGCAACACAGCCGGCAGTCTGAGGCGAAGGCAACGCGCATGAGGCCCTTTCGGAGCAGCCTCTGTCAGATCTTTTATTCGGCACTCTCGCTAGTGGAGAACCGATCTTCACTCTACCGTATGAAGTCCTGAGCGGGAACTTGGGCTGCCAAGCATCTCGGTTTGCACAAAATCCAACCCTCCTGCTCCACCCCCTTCCTCCGCGGACATATAAGCAGCCACCGCCACCACTCAGCTCGGAGTGCCATTGTTTCCTGCGTTCCTCCTCCCAAGCCTGGTTTGAAGAGGAGCAGGAGGAGATATCCCCGGACGCTCCAGAGAAAAGATAGTGCAGCCTGATGCTACCGGCAAGCACTGCCAGGACGGGATTAGGGTGGCCTCCCAGAACTCGAGCCTTGGGGTGGGGGGGCAGCCGGTGGAATGCCCTTTTCTTGCCTTTCTTTTTCCCCGCCTTCTGGCCAAATCCGCCACTCTTCTTTTTTACGTTCTGTCCGCTTCTTTAATTCCTCTCTATATTTTTGGAACACTTCTTGATCAATGGAACTCTGTTTTATTTTATTTACTTTAACTATCTCTCTTGAACAAACTGCTGTGTACCCTACCCTCCTTACCTAGCTTTTAGGTAATTCCAGGAGCTCAGGTAAGAGAAACTTTTCCCAGGATAGCTTAGATAAAGCAGGTGGCCAACACACTCCTGATAGCATCACAATTTATCATAATGGATGCCTTTTAGTGCACAGGATAAATGAGCAGGCACAGAGCACCCACAGACAATTTTATAACAGCTGGCTGAGTACAAGTTGACAGCACCAATTAATCATAACAAAATGCTGTAGCATATAAAAGAAAGCAGGAGGGGGATTTTATTATTATTCTTTTCATCATTTTACATCATGAATAATCAGGCTTGAAAACAGAAGCCCAACTATTCTTGTCTCAACCTCAATGTCTGCTTTGTGTGTCTTTGTGTGTGAGAGAGATAGAGTTCAATCTTGATTTTTCACATGTGAAAGCATATTCAATACTTTGTTTCCAAGCTTTACTTTTTTTCCTAAGAAAAGCCACTATGATAATAAATTGATTTTGAGGAGAAATTATCTATTTCTTAAATAAAGAACTAAGAAATAAAGTAAAAAATCTAAGATATGCTTGCAGGGCTATATCCTTATTCTGTAGCAGCAGTTACTCAGAATAAGCAAGAGCAGCCCAGAATACTTCAAAGCCAGTTACACAAATCAATATTACTTTACAGTTTCACACTGCTAAAATACATTTAAGAACTGGGTAAGCCTCCCTACTACTGTACTGGTCACTGGTATTCATAGTTTCTTCTCTGTGTTGATCTCAAAACCAAGGGAAAAGAAAAAGTATGGAGCGGGGAGGGGGAATCTTAAGAAATTTAATTCTAATAAAATTGAAGTTCATTTTCTTGTATTTAATGCACAAAAGAAGGGTTGGCTAAAATTATTGCTTGCTTTAGAAGTTTCTTTTGAATCGTGGAATGAGGCAAGATTGCTGCAGAGCTTGCTTTGCTGAAAAGAAGCATTTTTCAACAGGATGATCCTTTTTCATGATCATTTATTGTATAATAGATATGGGCTTTATTCTGGATGAGTTTGATTTGGGCCTCCTAGGATGCATTCAATAGAGGAAGTAGGCTATTTGCTCTGGGGGGACTACTAAATCAAACAAATTATGTAGTTAATGATTATGCATGGAAAAAGAGAAAAGGGCAAGTCTTACTAGCTTTTGACATATAACAAGCTCCTGAATGCATGATGTCCATGGATATATAGTAAATAAGTAAAGCGTAAAGCAAGCCTGCACAACTTGCAGAGAAAAAAGCAACACTGATAATAAATTAAGAATTTATTAAAAATAATAGTAGGCTATAAAGAAATATCTGGCACACCAATCAGATGATTAGTAGTGTAGGAAGTTAGCACCTACCCATCTCCTAGAAAATGAAATATCCTAGGAAATATTTAAAAAGCAGAATATTTCCCCTAAAAAGAGAAGTAGAAACTCAAAAGCAGAAGCTCACTCCCACCTTTGTTAATGGGTGGGCCAGAGTATTCTATATAACGAAGGCCTCTGCTCATCTCACCACCTGGCCTGGGTAGATTGCATCAGCCAGCACTCAGGTGAAGCCATGTGGTCCAGATAAAGCCTACCCCCCCCCCGCCCCTGGGAGTCTGACAGCCAATGGGATACATTTCTTGCACAGGAACAGGAAACACTAAGGTGGGACCCAGCAGAGGTTATCTAACTAAGGGACTCTCAGCATCTCAACCCTTTTCCTTCTTTCTTCACCTAAGGCATGTGATCCTGTCCACTTTCCAAGCATGTTTCCAGTGTCTTTCTTCCCTACTTGGAACTGAACCCAGAAGAATATTTCTTCCAACAGTATCTAACAAAGGCCGAAGTTCTGGAGGTAGTGGCTATGAGGACTGTTGATTGGATTGGCAGTGAGTCTCCATAGCTGGTTTTCATAGTATCGTTCTACATTGAGTTCAGTGTCTTTATCACTATACCTTGCTTGCTTTTAAGTAATTTGAATTGGTTCTCATGTGAGCTTTTGTCAGTGTGACTGTTCATGTTATGAATAACTTATTAGAGTTTGCATTTTCACAAATTCTAGAGAACTTAATTTTGAGACAGTTTTTTAAAAAATAAATAAAGCATATCTCTATTCTTGGAGATTGGAACATTTTGTTGTAAACAGCTCAGAATCATTAGAGATTGAAGTAACCTCTAAATCAGGGGTGTCAAACTGGCGGTCCGTGGGCTGGATGCATCACATGCAGGTCACATCCACCCCAGCTCCACAAAGGGGAAAACCATTGTGGTATGTCATGTGACTACAATGTGACAATACAAGTTGGCCACCCATACTCTAAATAATTCTGGCTTAGCTATATAGCTTACTTACTTCAGCTTTTCTTACCATCAGGTGAAAGTATCTGTATAAAGAGATAAGATTTTATTGACTTCAGAATCTATTTAAAAGATTAAGTAATTTTTTATGTTCAATTTCTTGAGAATTACTCAAATCAAGAGCTCAGATAGTATATTATATTGTTTTGTGTCTTTCTTAAAAAGGAATTCTGCATTTGCTCTAAAATTCAAGCAGCTTAAATATTGCTAGCTGAGGAATACATTGAGTTGTAATCTTCATTTTCATATTTCTTTCAATCCTTCACTTGAGACACTTCCCCCAAAATATCTTGTAACATACCTTGTGAGATTTATACATTAATATATCCTTTCTGTTGTGCCAAGTCTTAAAGTGGCTTTTTTCTATTTACTTTTTTTCTGAGAAAAGGAGAAATGCATCACTGCACCCTGTCTCAAAAAACATATATAATTTCATTTCAATTTGTATATGTTAATTATATCAACATATACTAATATGTTGCTATAATTTTAAAATTAATCACTATAATTATTTCAAGACAAAATACATCTCAACAGAGGAGAAATGAGTAATCAAGTACTCTGTGTCTACAGAATTTACTATCAGAGCTTTGAGAGCCAAGTTCTCCTTTTCTTTAATTGTTCCTTTATTTTTAAATTACACTTAGACTGAAGAACTCTTCAAAGGAAGGTCTTATGCTTTGTAAAATAGGACACAGAACTACTCTAGTTACAATTGCATGGGTATTAAGCTATCCCTGAATATTTAAGCTATTTAATTATACGTTATATAATAGATAACCAGGCTGAGCCTGAGGGAGGGGTCAACCATGTCATCAGCATAGAATAAGCATGTACTCATTTGAATAATGCTGGTTCCTGATTTCTTGTACCTGACACTATATTAAGTTCTACATATTGTAGGATTAGTAAAGCAAATACAAAGCCCCTTTGTATTTAACATTTCAATAACAATATTTAAGGGAGAAAATTTTAATAAATAATTATAAACAATAACTATTTAGATAAAAAACTCAGCCCATTTCCCACATACACAAAGGACTTCATTCCTTTGCCTTAAAAATTGGAACATCTATTCAGTGTTTATATGCCAGGTTTGCATTCTTTGCTGCTGCTTCATCATACTTCACACTGTCTGTAAATAAAAGTTGCTGTACAGTTGGTTCTGAGTTAATAATAATAATAGGGACCAGGAACTCTGTTGCTAAGCAACATAGTCGTAAAGTGTGATGTCATGTGACAACTAGATGTGGGCTGCTGCCGGTTTTGCTGCTGGTTTGGGTGAACTGGTAGTTAAGATTCTGTGCAGTTCGGCAAACTGGCAAATCCCACCACTAGCTGGCCCCGAAAAATGGCCTGAAAACAGCCAAAAAATGGGCAGGGGCAGGACCAGCCCCTGGGATTAGTCCCAACTGGCTGAATTCTACCTCTGCCTTTGAGACGAGTGGTGAGGAGGCAGGGCTGTGTGTGATGAGTGATGTCGCCTACCCAGTCATATGATCAACCGGCCACACCTACCCAGCCAGAGAACCAGTTATTAAAAAATTTTAACAAGCAAACCACTACTGGTGACAACAGTAGTTCCAGCAGTTCTAACTGCAGTTCTTTCATGAAGCCTGTACTGTTGTTAGAGCAATGTCACATGACAGCCCTTTGAGGACTTCTGCCAGTTTTGTCATTGATTTTGCTTGTTGGAATCTGACAGTGAAGGTCACAAATGTTGATCATGTGACCATGGGACACTGCAACTATCATGTGAGCTGTTTACCAAGCATCCACATTCTATCACATGACTTTAGGGACACTGCAACATAGCCGCAACTTCAAGGGTTAGCTAAATGTCCTTGTTCAGTAGTCGTCACTGAACAAATGGTTGCTAACAAAGGACAACCTGTATATACAATTTATAACTTTAATCACTTTATGATATTTTAAGGAAATTGATAATATATTAAGATTATTTTTATGGGAAGAATCAACCCATAAAATTTTTTCAACGAAATTGCAATTATGAGAGTTTTAATTTTCTGATTTTCAGTTTTATTACGTGTGTGTGTGTGTGTGCGTGCGTGCATGTGTGTGTGTGTGTGTATATATATATATATATATATATATATATATGTGGATCTTTGGTTATTCGGGTTTTCTCCCGCGTAAGATTCAAAGTATCTAGGCAACGTTAGCTTAGCTGATGAACAACACCTAAAAACCGAACTAAACACTCTCACCAACGTACTAACAGCCA